TTTCAACAGCTCTAAAGAAAACCAAAAAGAAAGATGTATAATTCTTTGAAAACTTACCCAATGGCAAATTACTTTTATGAAGCCTTATCAGGGCCATAAAACTGGCAGTGTGACCCCTGTGTGTCATGAATGAAGAACCTTGGTCACATTCAGCCACATGGTTCAACCTCAGCGCAGCAAACAAAGTGTTCCTTTAAAAAAAATTGGCTGTAGTCTCTGGAGAAGGGAAATCCTGGAGACCACCGAGGAGCTGGAGTAAGGCTTCCTATTGTGTATTCAGCTTCCAGCCATTGTACACATTTGACCCCCAAATGCCAAAATAAATGAAAGCTGCTCTTCAAAGTAATGCAATCAGTTCAAAAATATTGTGCTAATAAAGTTATAAATTCTAATGGAAAGATTTATGGCAATCCATTTAGTTGTTACTAGGTTATTTGTGGCAGACAGATGCAGAGTAACCTGATTAGAGTCAGCATTGTGATGACTTGTAGCTGCAGAGGGGAAAAAAGCTTTAAACCATTGTCATGGCCCATTCTCTGAGATGCATTTGGAAGCTGATTTGAAAGAAAATATATGACCCTTAAATGTAGTTTTGCAGCTGCCTCAGATAAGTTGGCCGAAAGAAAGTGCCAAAATGACTGACAGGTCTTTCTTTACTTAAGTTTTAATTTGTAACTCAATTTTGCAGATGAATTTAGAAGAAATTTAATTGAGACACTCTTTTCAATATATTTTTTTCTTCCCATTCATTCTATATTTAATATCTTATGTTGGGAAAAATAGTCTTAATTCAGTTAATAATAGACGTGCTATTAAGCAGTTTATTCTTTTGGACTTGATGAGCAAGCTTTATGAAAATATGCTTCCTATATGAACATACCCCTGAAAAATGTAAAAGCAGGACTTTTATTCATGTGTGGCTATGTAGTTTTAGTTGAGGGAGAACTTAGATTTACTGGAGTCAAATAATAGTTTCACAGAAGCTGCAAAGAGAAGGAGCTACTTGCTGGTCTTGCATTCCTACATTTAGTATCTAAAAATGGACATGGTTTTCTTATTTCTTTAATATATATGTTCTTATAGTTACACCCTTCAAATTATTCTACAAGTGAGAATCAGTTCAGCTTTATATTCAATTTGTTTGATCTATTTATTGTAAACAGGATTAATTGGTGACAAGGATACAGTTTTGTGTAATCAATAATAAAATGTATCAATTTTTTTATAGTAATAACATAATAATGTGCATTGCAAATCAGTTTTTGTTCCTAACTTCAGTCACTTGAAGAATTTGGCACAATAAACCAATAAGGTGATCCAAGTTCAGGCTTATTGGTGAGTGCTGGTCTTGGCCATTCTGATTAATACAGAACTTTTTCTGTAATATGTCGATTTAAGTTATATTTGAAGTTATAATCAAAATAGATTTAGTCGTTAACAGGTGTCAAAGGCAAGTACATTGACAGAACTGGTTTTGTACTGAGAGTTAAATGATTCTTATGGCTCCAACCTTACAGGAAAAAGTACACTTATTCCTTACAGAATAGTGCAGTTGCTGGCATTCATTCAACAATGCAGTAGGGGGAAACCTTATTTACTGTAACATCTAAAAACAGAGTGAACTGTAAATATGATCATTGAATGGATCATAAAATTTTGTGTTTATGTAGAGCAGGAAGATCTTGACAAATTGCAATAGTTTTTAATTTTCTGTTAGTACTAACTAGTAAGGGTATTAAAGTAGTAGGAAATACTAAAGAGAAAGAATTGCAAAAGTGTTTGTATTGGTGCATTTTTGTAAATTTGTATATGTATGTATATGGTACATATGAATCTGTTATATTCCAGATAATTATTATCTTAACACGGTCTACTCTTTTTTCCCAAGGTAAGAGTAATTTCTGTTGTCTGTCAAGTTGTGATCACTTCATCCAAAGAGCCAAGTTTGGCTCTGCCTTCAGGATGGTTTCTTGTGAGTGCTGTGATGAGAAAGTAAAGGAAGGAACCAAGGCAGAAACTTTGCCTTGATTCCTTCCTTTGCTTTCTAAACATGAGCATTTTATGACCCATGATCCTTTGAATACCTCTTGCCAAATCTTTCTTAAGGAAGGATTTTGGAGCAGGTGGAAGTACCTAGATACTTAGGACCAGTAACTTCCCTTTCACTTTGCTGTCAAAATCCATCCAAGACATCCATTTTTACAGGGTTGAACTACCAGCCTGAGCTCCTAAGCAGTTACATACCCTGAGGATTTCATCAATGTTACTTGTGTTCAGTCCCTGGTGAACAAGCTATTCCCAGCAATTTTAACTTTGTTCTCAGGGTGGTCATTTGGAGCTCAGGGGCCTGGAATGGTTGAATAATTCCCAGAGTGATGGATTAGCATGCAGGCAGCAGTTGAGGTGGTCAAAGGTGCATGACAAAATATAATTTATCATGGGGATGTTACTGCTGTTTCTGGGGTTCCTAGGGGTCAAATGTAAGGACATTTTGGGAAGTGGCAGAACTTCTCTTTTTAATCTCTGAATCCTTATTCAATAATATTTATTTAATAGTAAGTAGCAAAATCATTGTGATTAAAGCTACCAGTACAGCTTTGTGAAGATACTAGTCCTGGTTTTCTACTGTCTGGGTACACCAATGTTAGGCACAAGCTGTTGTGGTATGGGAGCAAAAGAAGTTCCAGAGCTTGTCATCTCTTTTCAATTTACTTCTATTCTGCTAGAATAGGATCAATGCACAAAACTTAAAACTCCAAAAAGACTGTTCTAAGAAGTGCAGGAATGAAATTTTATATTTCTCAAAGCTTTTCCCCTTTGGAATTTGTCTGCTGAGAGAACTTCAGGATTAGTGAGGCAGGCCATGAGCTGATGTGCATGGACTCTGTATCGTTAGCTTCCATAGAATGTTGCTGTGGGAATGCACTGTGGATGGCCTGGCCTACTGCTGATAAGAAAAGCTATGGTGCATCTTCCCTCCATCTGTAACAGTGATCCTGGAGATTGCTGGCACAGAACTTCCATTAATTCCTATGATTTCCTTTGAAAATTCAAAGGAAGCATCATTTCTATGCATGTGCCATGATTCAGGAGTAATACTCCCCAGTTCAGTGCCCCAAAAGAGATGAAGTGGGGAGTACTCCAAGTAGACACTGCTCACTTGTTTCCTCCACCCCTTCCTGCTCTGGGGATGGAGTTGAGAGTTGGAGACTCAATGGTGAAAATGGAGGGGTGAGTTAAGAACAATTTACTGGAAACAGCAATGAGATAAGAAAACAAACAGTAACAGCAAAAAATAGTGCTAACAAAAGAGGATGATTTACATGCAAAACACTCTCCAAGCCCAATGGTGAAAAACAATAGCCCAGAAACTTCATTCTGGGAAGTGTGAGAGTCCCTTTGCCCAGCCTCCTGGCATTGAGGTAAGATGGCATTAGATAACATTTAGGAGTGGCCATGCCCACTCAGCCCAGCTCACAGCAGAATTGCCAGAATTCCTGGCTCAAGCAATCCAGTGGGCTCAGCCTCCCAGCAGCTGAGGTTACAGGTGGCCACCACTGCACCTGACTGCTGTACATCAATGAGCTCTGTCCTGCCCACAACTAGGACAGAATATTTGTCTCCAGTTTAAAAACACCAACTCCCTAGTCCCAGGTTTCCTATTAGGTTTGTTAGATCTTACTCTAATACTTAAGAGCCAGCAGTAGGCTCCAAATAGCAGGATAACCATCTGCTGTTTTAAGGGGAAAAAGAAACTCTTTTTTGACAGTTCTCATCTTAAATATTTATTTTCCATCTCTATTTTACCTTTGCTTTGTCTCCTAATCTTTTAAATAGCATTTGTAAAGACTTATGTTTGATTAACCAATTACACAATCTGGAAAAAAAAACCTAAATGAAGAAGTTGTTGTAAACTGGGTTTTGAGACAGTTTTAATTCACAGTAGCGGTATGTCACAATCAAAGCAATTCCTTATCAGTCTGTCAAGTGGCTGAGGCAGTACTGGATTGAAGAGGGTTTTTCTGGGAAGTCTCAAGTGTTTGTCTCAGGTACCATTGCTGTGCTCTTTCAATCAAGAGTCAGGAATGCTGCGATGGGCATATTTTGTTTGTTCACATCCCTGTGTGTCAACACTTCAGCAACATTTCAGTCCCCTTTTTCCTGCTCTTCTCCCTGATCAGAGCATGACTTGCTTACTGAGATTCTCATAAGATAATTTAATAGCAGCTCTGAGCCAGAAGACAAAAGGAAAGAGAGTTCAAGAGCTCATTGCTAATTTCTCTCCCAGCATAATCCAATCAGTAGAGCTCTCCAGCTAGGACTTATAACCCTTAATAAGTCATTCTATTCGATTAAGAGGAATTGATTTTCTTCTCCTGTGTATCATAGTGATTATGATGAGTGTGGTATCTGCTGCTCCCTTCCCTGTCTTCCCTCCTCGTCTCCATTTGTTTGCAGGGTGGGCAGGTAAGCGAGCCAGGGAGATGGGGCAGCATCATGAACTGGGGCTGGTGTCAGCTCTGTGACAGCTCTGGAATTGAGGTGTCCCACAGATCAGAGGAGATGCCACTTGTGAGGGTCTCACACAGCAATTCCATGCTTTTGACAACTCTGCTGACAGCCTCAAAAGCAGCAATTGATGGGACAATCATTTGCAGTCGTGACTAGAAGAGCAGTTTGCAATTGGTGGTGGTAGCAAATGGACCATAATTTAGTGGTTAACTAACACTAAAGCTGATGGGGTGGGGGGAAAGGCAGTTTTTATATTTCAAAAGTAAAGCAATATTGAATTTTCTTCAATCAGAGGATGCTGGTGTAAACATATTTTCATGATGTTACCTATTTGTTTGGTTTTCACAATTTATAGGCAGTAGAAAACTTAATTGACTTGAATTAGTTTAATTTTTGGGGAGGAAAAATAGGAGTAGAGAGGGGAATTAGCCAAGTTTCACTGCTGTTCAAGATAGTTTTGGGAATGATGACATCGAGACACACAAACATTTGTTCATATGTGTTTAATTTATCATGAGTGCAGTCAAACAGCAAAACAAGACATTGTAACTGTGTGGGATTTTTTCCCCGCCACAGTGGGAGTAGCACTCTTTACCTGGACAGCTTTCCTTCTGGATGCCTTCAAGCTGTAAACAAAAGAGCAGGTGCAGGTGAGCTTCTGAAACAAATGAGCTAGTCACATGATTCAACTCTTTTACATTTATATTTCTCTCTCAAAACTGTAGTAAAAGTTAAAACATAGCACACTTCTTTATTTTTATTTTCCAGGACTATTGCCTGCCCTGTATGTGGATGTCTACTTAAGAAACTGTTTTCAAAGTATTTAATTACATTCTTGCTGAGCAAGGGAAATTGGATTGCCATTTTGATGTTGCATTCTGTAATTTGAATGAATTAAGTCAATGTATTCAAAATCATGTAGTTTGACGTCCTGCATAACCCAAGCCACAACTTCTTTAGGAGGATCAATAATGTGTGGCTGGAAAAAAACATGCAGTTTTTTAGGACCTGAATTTGTTATAAGTTGTTTTGAATAAATATTGAGATGCCTCTGTAAAGATTTCAGGTGAGGGAAATCACATCTCCTTTAGGATGTTTTAATATTGAGATGACCCAGAGGTAAAACTTCATTTTTAGTGGATTTTAGTTGTTCTGTTAGGCTTCAGACCACATTTCTTTTAAAATTATACAAACTGAGTGTTGTGCAGAGAAAAAAGTTTTGCTGCCCACACCACATTTTTAGGTATTTCTGAGAAGTCATATGTCTTAAATATTGCAGCTGTTTCGTGCAGTTGACATTTACTTTCCCTGCATGGCTGTGTGGGATGCCTGTAAAATGGGATTCACGTTGCCAGGTGCTGTCTCATAAGTGCAGCTTGCAAGCCCTGATTAGATGGCAGTCTGATGGGTTTGGAGTGCCTGAAATCCACAGTCTTTGGATCCAGAGGCAGTTTTGAGGGAAGTAAGGTAGAGAGATGAAATTTTTTTCAGATTTCAGAATACTTTGGCAAGTGTGCTTCATTTACACAGAAAGAATCCCCCAAAAGACCCAAACCCTCAATCCATTAACTTGCAATTTGAATTTTCTTAGTCCCAGCTTCTCATGATGAAATACTGAAATCCTGCAATGGGAATTTCACCACCTAATGTTTTCTAATGCCTTGTAAAAATGCAACTTGCATAAATATTTACCATCTTAGATAGTTTTAGCATCTTGAGTTTTTTGAATATCAAATTATAAATTGGGATTTTAAAACTTCACAAAAAGGACATAGGAATAATTTGAAAACTGTGGGGCTTTTAGTGTACTTTAGAGATGCAGAGTAATGGGCAAAATGTCACAGGAATAGCCTAATCACTGCCAGTTGCTCACTGAGTAAACATCTTTGCTGCTGTTTTCTTATATCCAGCTATCATTTCAGTAGTTTTTATCTGCTTTGTTAAATCAGGAGGTTGTGTTCCTGGGTTATTTCCCTTTCCTTCTACAATATAATATTCTATTCTGCTATGGTGGGGGTTTTTTTTGTTTGTTCTGAAACATGATCTCACCATAAATCTTGAACTGTGCCCAGTTTACAAAGCAATGTTTATTTGTATGGATTGCTTGCCACTTCATTATCCAGCAATGTGTGTTGTCTGAAAATTGGATTAGCAATGACCTTCTATTTTCTTCTCGATTACTGGCAGGTATTGAATTGTTTTGAGGGTGTGAACCAATTCCATCATGACTCCTCTAGGAACTTGCTTTTTCATTGGTGATTCCCCAGTGATATCTCTTTTTCTGGATTTATCAATTACCAGTTTCAAATCCACTTAGTACGTGCCAAGTTTAATTTGTGGGATGCTAATTTCCTAATGCAAATATCATGTGGTCAGGTGCTTCAGTGAGTGTATAACCTCTTTCCTGTGGATGTGTTGATCATAATACAGTGAGATGTGATATAGTCATCAGCATCCTTCTGAGCAGCAGGTTTAGGGCTTTTATTCTGGATTATTTGACACTTGGATTTCTCTTTTGTGAAAGCAGTCTTGTCTGTGTGGTGCAGCTTTGGTTTAAAAGGTGTTTCCTGTTGGTGTGCATGCTGCTTATGCTGTGAGAGACACTGAAATGTACCAGTGCTGTTTACTTGATGAAACTGCCTTAAAGCATATAAAACCTGGTTGTTGTGGACTAGAAAGTAGAATAATCTGTTCTTATGCAATTTATAACAGATGAAAATTCTTCAGCAACTTCCTTCTTATGCCTTTATCTATCTGTTTGTATATTTTTTGTTATTTAGCAGCAATGGATGCTGACAAAAAATGCTTGATAATTAAATTACTATTTTGACCCTAAAATGACCTATTTGAGTAAAACTTTCTTATGCACAATTCGTTCTCTTTAGAGCTATAAAATGTTCTCATTCAGGTCCTCTGGACATTGTTTTGGCTTGTGCAGTTTGGAGATGTTGGAATGCGCTCGGGGCCCTGGGAAACCCAAGGTTAGAGTAACAGAGAGGGCTCTTGTTCTGTCCTTGGCTGAATATCTCCCTGAACAGCACTTAGGGGATACAGAATGTCCCTGGGCCAAACTGTTTTCCATCTAGGAAATCTGCATGACCTCACTTGTCACCTACTTTTTATAAATTATAACCTTTGTGCATTTAGTATATTTCTCTACTTCTCATCCTCAATTGAAACTTTGAGGTTTCTGATAGAGAATTGACATATGATTTACTTACTAGAATTTCTGTAATAATGTAGAGTTAACAGCACCTGATAGCACAGAGATGATTGTATTACCAATACCCTGCTTAATTTATTTTTTTTCCATGAAAATATTAATGGAAACATGAGATTCATCTCAGAGTTCAAGTTCCAATATGTTTTGATAAAATTGATTTTTAGTTCCTCTCACAATACTTAGTGCTGGTTTTACATTGCAGAGTCTGAAAGGTTCACTGACAGTTTTTCCCCAGCTAGAATCAGTATCCAAAGTTAACATTCCTCCCTCTCCTCTTGGCCTTTCCACTGGGAGGACAACAGTGTAAGCATCACAGGAGAAATAGCTAGGAGGCACTGACTTAGATTTGAGAGAGAATGCTTTAATCCCCAGAGCTCCAGGGTATGCTGAAGAGTAGTGAATACCTCCATTTTTGTACCCCTGCAAAGCTTCTTTTGTAGGAAGTTGTATTTGTGTCAGGAAAAAATTTCCAACATATGAATGCTAAAAGTTATAACCAGTATAGATTACAGAAGCAGTAACTCTAGAATATCCTTGACTCTTAGAGGAGGTTCTGTGGTTTGGCTTTGGTTTGTGGTTTTTGGGGGTTTTTTTTATGTTTTTGTAATCTTGAGTCTGATTTAAATCAAGGTTGAGCATTTCTTTACTATTTCATGTTTTTTAAGCAAAACACTATGCTTGAGTTGCAAGCTCTTGATAAATGAGTTCAGAGTAGTGATGCATCCTTCAATCCAAAGTAAAAAATGCTACTGTTGAAATTAGTCATGTGCCAAACAGGATCACACAGAGGAGCTGAAGGAATGGTAGAAAAACATAATTGGGTGATGCAAATAAACAAAAATCTTTTTGGATTTCCTGGCTGCTTTCTATGAGCTCATCTGATACTGTAAGTCAAGCACAGAGGTCTCAGTGGGCATTTGCTGAGTGCTCATGATACTTACTACATCATTAGAATTTTGAATTGAAACATTTGAGGATATAATTAATTAGTTTATGTTAGTAAAGTGCTCTGTAAATACTAGCTATTATAAGGTAAACTGACAGATATTCTGGAAAAATGGTACAAGCATCCTTATTACTGTAAATCAATAGGTTTTATACCAGAGTTCTGCTTATTATTAAGGGCAATTTATAACTGATGAAGGGTTCAAAAGTGACCTGCAGCCTTGAGTCCTTAATTTATCACAGGAGCAGGATGTTGTTGACAGAAAAAAACAAATGCTGTGGTGCTTCCAATACACCCTAACCTTGACCTGGAGCAGACATCTCTGGGCAGGATTGGGGAATTCTTGTTCCATGCCCTGTAATTTGTGGCCTTTCTGTTACGATTGCCAATAAGGAGATCCATTACTCTCTCCTAAAAGTTGGATTTTATTAGTATTAACTATAATTTATTCTCCACTGAGGCCCAGAGAAATGGCTTCCCAATGTTATAAAAAATGTCAAAGCACAACAATAAGACCATCTCTGTCCCAGAGAACTTGCATTTGAGCTCTTAGGAAGCCTGGCACTCTTACAGATGACTGTCCATCAGATTTCCATGTGAGGCACTCACATTGCTGTGGGTTGAATGATGTGATTTGCTCTGTGTGGGTTGAATTGTTTGAGCACTTGGGAACTCTGGATAGTGTGGGTTTTCTGAATCATTTTTTCTTCTTTTAAATCAGGTTTTACATTTCAGTTTAAATTATTGCTGCATAGCAAGTCACCAATATAATGTAAATAGAAAAAAATCTGTAGCTGATTAGTCTCCATGTGCAATCACAGGGAATAGAATTCTTAAGCTTTCCTTTTGCTGTGGTGAGTTTAAAAATCTTTGCAGTTTTCTTACTTATCACAAAGTTTGATAGGAGCAGCAGCCTTTCTCAAATCACTTTTTTCTCTCTGTATTTTTTTATATATAGGAACTAAGGTCAATTATTTTCCAATCAAGGCAGATTCTGACAGCCTCTTATGTGAGTAAATAAACCTACAGGTGTTGCACTTATCAGCATTTAATAAGGAAAATAAATAGGGCACATCTTCACTTCCTTGTGGCCAGATTTAAGTCCAAACCAAATAGAAAAGAATTGGGAAGGGAGGAGTTCTTCAGATACATTGTCTTTGTCAGCAATATGTTATGTTGTAAAATATTGCCGAGTTTAAGTTCCAGGAATGAACACTAATATCCAGGCTATTAAACATGTACTTTTAGTGTATTTGTCATTCTCTGAGTGTGAATGCCACAGTTAAGACAAATCCTTACAGAGATCTTTGTTTGAATACTGTTAAATAAAATGCATACCTAATTCAGAGGCTAGCTCTGATAAAAAACAAAACAAACTTTAGTCAATATTCCTCTTCCCCTACTTGGACGTCTCCCAGGTATTGACCAATGAAATTGGCAGTGTGATGGGAGAAAGA